GATGCTGCCCACACCCGGGATCAACCCTCAGGATTCCTGGGTTCTTTTGCCAGCTCCAGGAGGGAGTTAGGTGGGCTAGTGGTTAGAGCAGGGGCTAGCACCAGGACACCTGGGTTCTCTTTCCAGTGCTGTTAACAGAAACCAGCAGCTGACTCTCCAGGGGTTATGACAGCAAAGGGGTCCTTGGAGACGGCCCCCTGCCCCGGGTGACCGGGTCTGAGTGTGCAGGGAGCCTGAGACAACAGCTGGCAAGTGGGGCAGCTGCTGTCTGCTTCACCGCAGGGGCGAGAGATAGTTGTGGGGGGGGGTCAGATTAGGAGGTTCGTACTCTTCACTGTGTCATTTTAGGTGGGTTTGTAGCACTGGAAGGGAGGCAGGAGATGATCGGCTTCACGGTGAGCCCTTCTCTTCCTGCTCTCTGCTCTATTTCTATCGGATCCTGGAGCCAGCATCACTTCGTGTCCTTCTTTTCCCCCCCTGCAACTGCTGAGAACAATCCTTACTTTCCACCCTAAACTGAATGCACCTTTACCTCTAGGACCCTGTTCCTTTCCTGCTTGAAACAGGTTCTGTAGCATCATGGGGTGGCTGTCTGTGCCCCACCCCAGAGCTGGCTGCGTTTCAGGACGGTGGGGCATCTTGTTCCAGGCTTGAGTGCAGCTGTTCCAGCCCTCCCTTGTGTTTCGGGGACATGGTCTTTGCAACTGAGGGTTAAACGGCTACCCCGTTCCACCCCAGAAGCGGCTGCAATCAAATGTGTTGAGCTGGGAGGCACGATACAGCGCCCGCTCCGTGTGTTTTGCAAGCCTGTCGAATGTGGCGAAGATGCGACCACCCACACTCACTGTGTCTGCCTCTAACCTCAGTGTCTTGCACACAATAGCTCGCGGGTAACATCATACTTTCCCTCCCTGGATTTTTTGGGGGTCGCCGTTGCAATGCTGTAGGTAAGGTTATGTCAGCCCGCTTTGTTATAAATCCCGTTCTTCGGGGGATTCGTGCCTGACAGTAAAAATTCACTCCAGGCCCAAACTTGGCTTGTGAAAATCGCAGCCTAGAAATTAGGGGCGGGGGGTGGGGGTGGGGGTGGCCAGGGGGAGATGGAGAAGGGAAAAACAATCTACCCAGCTTTTCCTGCAAAGCTGAGAAAACCCCAAAAGCCTTCGAGGGGAGGGGGCTGAGTGCTGTTCAGATGCCTTCGGAGTGGGAATCACTGCAGGATCTTTTGGCTTGTGTTTAGCTCACGGTGTTTCATTTAAAAAATAATCGTAGGCATTTAGAGTTGAAAGGGCCAAAAATGTTATGGGACATATGGAGCTTTTTGATCACTTTGGGGTGGGTGGGACGGGGAGAAAATCCTCACTTTCCTTCCATGAGTTTCAAGCCCTGGTGACTTGGCACTGATGCATTTGGAGCCCATCAGGAATTTGGTCTCGCAAACCCATGGTGAGGTGCAGTGCATGCTGGGAAGAGCAGTGTGGCCCACAGGGCAGAGCAGCAGTTGGTACCCATGATGAGCAAGTCCTTTGCCACCCTGTGCCTTGGTTTCCCCAGTTTGCTCAGTTGCAGAAACTGAGTTTGTCTCAGTGCCTCAAACTGAGGCGCTGAGACTCCTTTGCGCCTCAGTTTCTCCATCTGTGATATGGGGGTAATGATACTAACTGTTTTTATACAACACTTGGAGAGCTATTGGTGGCAACCTCCAGGTCAGAGCTGGTGGCAGGGGAGGAGGAGAAGGATCTGGACTGGACAAAGGGTGGGAAGAAAATCTTGACCCCATTTTCCAAATACAGAGCCTGCTACAAGGCCTGTTCTTAGTAACCACTGGACCAGACCCTGCAGTTTTTCACTGTAAATTATTTTAATTGTAGGTGGAGAGAAACACCCATGATTTGAAAGAAGCAAAGAGTAAATTCTTCATGAGAAAGGAGAGATGCACACATTGCGCTCTCTCTTTCTAACACCCCACACAAAATGCCTGGCATAGCACCCGGATGTGACGTACAGCAACGAAACACCCCCAGCTGTGCAGGGAGATGGGTCCTGCTCTGCAGATGCCAGTCCTTCATCTAACTAGACCCTGAGGAGTTGGAACTAACTAGCTGATCTAATCAGAGGAGCTAATTACATTGGATGATTTGTGCAGGGAGCTAATCTGCTGCAATTTGATGGATAAATAGAATTTGCTCCTCTCCCCTGCTTAGAGAGGGAGGCAAAAGGATAAGCAGGGCTCTCACCCTACTGATACCATCCACCTCAATTAGAGAAACAGATCTCATTAGACAATGATGCAGCCTTATCAGGTTATCCCTAGCATGCTCCTCCTTTGTGGTTAAAGGGGCTCTCTCCTGTGCCCTGTTGATGGGTGACTAGTTGCAAAGGCCATCCAAAAAGAGCCACATCCAAACTGGGATAAACCCTGCTGCTTCCCAGGCTGTGCGGAGGCTTTGGAAGAGAGGTGGTGACAAAGACCGGGGCCTGTGTCAATGTGGGGTCTGCTACAGACAGGACTGGGGTATGGTACGAGCATCCCAGCCAACATGTGGGAAGGTTTCTGGGCTTCGGTGGTGCTGGTTTACTGGTTTCCTGACTTATCTACAAGAGCACAAATAATGTTGCCTGTGTTTCAGTGGGGAATTTATCAGGTTGAAATGGGAGGGGATGGTCATGTCCTGTCCTTGGCTGGGATGATGTAGTTGGTCCTGCTTGGAGCAAGAGGTTGGACTAGATGTGACCTCCTGAGGTCCTTTCTGAGGTCCCCTTTCTATGCGTCTATGGACACATCCTGTCTCCCTAAAGCCATGCTTCTCAACCTCCTTAGACTCCTTTGTGCCTCGGTTTCCCCTTCTGTAATAGGGGAGTAATGATACCAACTGCTTGGACAGCTAATCTGTGATATGGGAGTAATGATACCAACTGCTTGGACAGCTATTGATGGAAAGCTCCAGATCAGAGTGGGTGGCAGACCCTCCCCTCCCCTGGAAAAGCCCAGCTCTTCTCCCACTCACTTTCACTATGAGAAGGTGCCTAGAGCACTTCTGCCCTTTGCAAGGGGCTCCCAGAGATCCTAGACAGGTTTGTGAGCTCTGGATTCCTATTAGTATCCTCTGGGGGGGTTTTCTTGTGCATCATGCGTAATTGTTTGCACCTAAATTCACTAATATTGTGCCACAGCACCCTTAAAAAGATCTTGCAGCCCACCCCCAGGGCCTCCCCATAGAGAATCCCTGCTCTAAAACATCTGCTACTATGCACTGTCAGAGCGTAGCTTATTTGTAGTGCCAGACCAAACATTTCCAGCCCCTCAGTGGTCTCGGAGACCCCTGGGTGCAAAATGGCCGATTCCTTGGGTCAGCAATGGACAAGACAGGTAGGAGAGGGCATGGAAAGGTGCTTTTGAGAGCAAAACAGGAAGGATTTGGTGATTTTGGAGGACTGCTCTTTTTCCGAACCTGGATATTTTTGCCTTGTCTAGCCCGGGAATCTGGAGGAAGGTGGGAGAATAATTCACGAGGCGTTAGCACGGCCTAATTTCTCCAGGTTTTTAATCCAGCATGAGTTGTTAATCTTTTGACTTTGTCTCAGGCTGGGAGCCAAGGCAAACTCTCCCCCAGCACAGGGCAGTCTCCCTTTTTTTTTTTTTTTTTTGTTAAAGGGGACAATGTCGGAGCAGACGAGCTGGAGAAAGTCTTCAATACAAGCACCCTGCTGGCACGTGGGTATTTGTAAGGTTGTCCTCAGGACCTTATAAACAGCTTTTCCAGGAGAGTTGCAAATTGTCAGGGCCTTGACTGCTCTGTGGTCACTGCCCATGTGTGTCTGCTCTTACCCCAGGGTAGTTTTTGTGGTGTAAGGGCATGGTGACAGGCAGGGATTAGCGCCCTGTAGTGCTCAGAACACTTTGCAATGGGGCAGCAGTTTCCCTAGCCCCACATCCCAGAGGGATTTTGACTGTGACAGAGCTCAGGGGTTGTGCAGAGAGATGCAGAGTCCGTCCTCCAGCCGGGTAAGGAGGTGGACAAAGAAGGAGCAGGCGGGAGGATCTCTGGAGAAGAGAACCCAGGCATCCTAAGGGGGTGGGGTAGTCCTGTGAGCCCCTCCATCCAGAGCAGAAGGCTGGCACCCTCCACGCCTGGGGGTGCCACTTCTGGCCTAACGATCCCACTTCGTTAACTGCTAGGGGGTTGTAAATGAGTGCCCCCACCCCAGATATCAAATTCACCCAAGGAACCTTGTCTGCCCACCCCAGCAAAGCCTGCCAGCCCTGCCAGCGCCCGGGGACTCTCCTGCTCGGTGCCACCAGGCGGAGCTGTTGTTTCGCTCCAGGTCCTGGGACCCCCCAACACCCAGGTGGCCCCCCAGTCCGGCCTCAGCACCCCTCCGGCTTGCCCCCAGCCTGCCCCCAGAGAGGGGTTCATTCTTCCTGTCTCAGGGACAGGCGCTGGTTGGGGTCCCCTCCACAGCCCCCCGAGATGCCCGGGAAATGCCGCATCCTGCTCCAACACTTGTGCATGTTGGGGGTCTGACCTGACTGCAGTCCCCCTAAAATGAGACCATATATCTCCCTGTCTATAGATAGGGAGACATCCCAAGAGATAGGGAGAGATCTATATATTGCACCGATTACAGGAGCACCCACCGGTGCTAGGTGCTGTTGGGGGTTCAGGCCAGGATCCCTTTTCCCCGGTGGGGCTTTGAGTGGGGCAGATAAAACCCATTCAGTTGAACCCGGTCTGGGATGGGAGAGAATGGGGTTGGACTGTTGGGGGGGGGTCCTAGACATGGGATTGCACAGGATGGGGCTGTGCCCCCTGCCACGGGGATTGGGGGCCGCATGATCCCTCTGCACTGGAGGCTCCCAAAGCCCTTGGGCAGGTCCCCCAGGCGGACCAAGGGCAGAAGGGGAGGGCCCCCAGGTGAGTGGGGGGAGCTGCTCTCCTCCTCTCCCAGGAGCACGGGGGAGGGACTAGACAGGGCGGCTGAGCCATAAAATGACACATCGGAGCGGGAGCGGGGGGAGAAAGCCTGGCGGAGCCGGGAGAGGAGGCTGCGGCCGGGCAGGGACGGGGGAGCCGCCTCGGGAGCCATCCACGCCCAGCAGACGGTGAGAGACCCCGGCCCGGCCATGCCCAACTTCTCCGGCAACTGGAAGATGAAGAGCTCGGAGAACTTCGAGGAGCTGCTCAAGGCGCTGGGTGAGCGGCAATGGGTCGGGCTGCGGAGCCGCACCCGCGGGGCTCGGCTGCGGGGCTCGTGCTGAGGTTGATGTGGGGGCTCAATCCGGAGTAACCCGGGGCTGCTGCAGGTGGGGAGGGTTTTGTCTCAGCCGCCCCCTGCCCGGGAGGGGGGAGTCCCCTGAGTCGGCCTGCCTCAGTTTCCCCGCTCCATGCCCCAGGCTGGAGGAACCGCAGGGTGCAGGGAGGGAGATGTGGGGGCTGCGCAGGTCCTAGCAAGAGCAGAAGCACATTCAAGTCGGGGAAGGGAGGGAGCTGGGGGCTTGGGTCTGGTCCCAGACAATGCACAGAGCTCGGGTGTGTGAGTGTGAGTGCGAGTGTGCATATGTGTGTGTGTGCGCGCGCCAGGGCCATCGCGGACCTCCTGCAGTCGGAGCGAAGGAGCGATAACACCTGTAAGAGACACCGAGCAGGCGCCAGTGCGCTGAACCCTTCCCATCGCAGTCTGTATCTTCACCTCCTGAAAGGGCTTCTTCATGCAAGGGGGGGTGGGGTGGGGAACAGGCCTGAGCCATCCCTGTTCGGATCCCTGGGGCGCCACAGCACATGGGGACCACGCTTGCACCCATTGTACAGATAGGGAAACTGAGGCATGGTTAAGGAGGCAAAGTCTCTGGCCTCAGAGACCCCCCAGGAAGCCCAGGACTGGCGCCAGGGGCAGAAGCTGAGTCCTGGGCCTGAGCTGCCCCCTGCTCTAACCACTGGCCCAGGCTGCGGCTAGGCTTCCTTCCACCTCCCCCTCCCCAAGCGCCAGCTGCTGTATTTCCTCCCCCCGGCTCTGGGGTGGTATCGCAGGACAAGCCTGGCTGGCAACGTTCATGTCGCAATCAGATGATATCCCCCAAGCTGAGGGCTAGGCTGCTGGATGCGGCCGGGTGCAGGGCGGGGATTGCTATAACAGCAGGCTGGCTTGGCTCGGCTCCGGCCGTGCTCATGGGATGCAGCTCAGGAGTGGACACGTGTCCCTGCAGAGACCCCCGCCCCAAGGCTGGGGATCAGGGCCTCACAGCCCTGCCAACAAGCAGCCTCGTGCCCCCTGCTCCCCAGGGTGCTCTTGTCTGGGCCTGTGTCCACTGCAAGGCAAAGCGGGCAAGGCAGAGGGCACACATGTGCACCGTGTGGGTGGGCATGAGGCATCCCACCCTACTGAGCACCTCAGGGGGAGGAGTGCTATGTGCTGACACCTCATTTCCACTCCTGGCGCTGCCACTGCCTGCTGGGAGACCTTTGCCAAATCCCTTTGTCTCGCTGCCTCAGTTTCTGCATCTGTGGAATGGGAGTGACGTTGAGTTGAGGCTCAGAGATCCACCTGGCATCTGAAACATGTGGTAGCACCGAGGCTTCCCCCAGGGTAAAATTGCTCCTTGACAACTCAGCCCCTCTTGCCTTTGCATCTTGGAGAGGGGCTGGTGGAACCCAGGCAGCCGGGCTCTAAAAAGCACCAGGCTTTTCCAGCTGAGCTTGAAACAGGCAGCGCTGCTTGGGGTCAGCCAATATGACACAACCCCCCCACCCCCCCACCCCAGAAACCCACTCAGGCCGGGAGGGCTGGACCAGCCCCTTGCAGCCTGGGAGGGGTGTATCCCTTCTCCCCACCTGGGGTAGGGCTGGGCATCTTCTCCTGTATTACAGACCTGGCCCTGGGGCAGAGTTGAAGCAACTTGACCAGGGGCCCCTGGGCAGTCAGTGGCAGAGGAAGGGAAACCCCCCAAATTAACCCTTTGCTTCCTGGTGGCATTGAATTGGAGGGAGAGGCCTGGAGATATTTAGCTTGGGGCAGGGGAGACCATCTCCTCCAACAGCAGTTTTATCACTCCAAGCCTTTCTTTGCTGGTGATGCTGGTGACCCCAGTGTTGCCCATTGCCAGGGGTTGTTCTGTGTTTTTCAGGAGGGGAAACTGAGGTACAAAGAGGCAGCCCATCCACCACCCGGTGGAGCCTCCAAGGGTGGTGGGAGTGGTGAAGAACCTGGCAGTGGCATGGGGGGCGGGGGGGATGTGAGATGGGGGAGCAGGAGGGGCTTGGCAGTGGCATTTGGGGAAGGGGTGGTTTGTGGCAGCAGGGGTTCAGGCTCAGGGTCTGGCTGACCCTGGCTCCCACCTGGAGGCAGGGAGCTGCCTTGAGGACAGACCTAGCAAGCAGGAGCTGGAGAACAATGGAAACCCCCTCCCCCACAACCCTGGAGAACAATGAAGAGCTGCTCTCCCGCTCCCAAACCTGCTGGGCAACAGTGGCTCCCTCCCCTCCCTGGAGCAGGCCTCCATGGCTACCCCCTTCCATGCAACCCCATCCCAAGCCCCTAAGGATGGGGATACACCCTGCCCGCGCCCCCTCCCCCTGCAACGGATGGAGCAGAATATTTTCCAGCCGAGGGGCTCGGCGCGAAATACTTGGGGATAATTATCACTTGCTTCTATTTCACTCCCGCACCCCCCCTTCCTCTCCCAGCCCAGCCCGGCGGAGAAATAAATCTGCCAGCGATAGCGTAAATCTCTGCCTTTCCCACGGCGGCGAAGCGGGGTCCCGGCTCTTATCAGCCTGGGTTTTATTGGCATCGGAGCTGCCGGAGGGGAAGCGGATCTCTCTTGGCACCTTGGCTGCGAGGGAAAGGGGGGGACTCCATGGAAAGGGCCTGATGAGATAACGAGTCATTAAATTTCAGCCTGGGACAGAGCCAAGTGAGGCGGGGCGGGGGGCAAGGGTCCCCAACCCGTGTGCGAAGCCAGTTGCCCCCCTGACAACACCCGAGGGACTGTCAGGGTTTTCCTCCTGCGGCCCCCATTGGAGATCGCTTTACTTGGCAGCCGCTTGCGTATGCCAGTTCAGAGGAGAAATGCCAGGTGGGGGTCTCGGGAGGGCATTGGGGCCACATTCGCCAGGGCACCTGGGCTTTGAGGCTGGCCCTGCATGGGGGGGTGGGCTTCTTCAATCCCTCTGGCCCTGCGTGTCCTGACTCTTGCTTTCTTTTCCTACAAGAGCTGGTGTGATTCCTGGAGCTGGGGCTTTACAGGCACTCATGGAGCCCTGTGAGGCAGTGTTCTCTAAGCTGCGTGGCGTGTGCGACTGCACAGGCGTGCCTGGCAGTGTGGCATGAGGACGCCTGCGTGGCCACACATGCCACGCAGCTTAGAGGGAGCACTGCTATGAGGCCCACAAAGCTGCGGCCGAGGCTTCTGGTTGAAGGCTCTGCCTCTTCCCCTTGCCCATGTGAATGCTCCTCCCTGCCTCATTCGCTCCCATTCCACAGCTGGAGAAACTGAGGCAGGGAGGCCAAGGGAGTTGGCAAAGGTCTTCCAGGAAGTCATTGGCAGCGCCAGGAGTGGAAACAAGGTGTCAGCCCACAGCGCTGCCTGGGGTCCTTCCAATGCAGCTCCCCCCAGGGAGCTCAGCAGGGTGGGGTGCCTCACGCCCTCCTGCACAGTGCACACACGTGTGCCCTCTGCCTTGTCCCCTTCGCCCTGCAGGCTGGACACCAGACAAAGACTCGCCCGTGTCCTGTTTCTCCTTCTGGGACTGGCGTGCCCCTCTCGACTGCAGCCCCCATGTCGTGGTGGCAGTGACCCCCCAGAAGAAGCTGCAGGCCAGAGCCAGGGACTGGGAGCTGGGAGGGGAGAGCCCGAAGCAGCCTGGCCGTGGGAACGGGGCGCCGGGCAGGCCGAACAATGGGGGGTCTGTGCCGGGCTGGGCCCTGGGGCTCACGGCCAGACCTCTGCCAGGAAAAATCTGCCCTGCAGCTTTCCACGGCCAGAGGTTAATCCGGCTCCCAGGGCTCAGTGCACGGCGGCCCCCCCTCCTCGTGTGACACCCAGGGATGTCGCACGCCTGGGGGCTCCCAGACCCCTGAGCTGGGGTAAGCTGGTGCTGTCAGCTGGGCTGCTTGCCTCCTTTGGCCTGATCCTGATGACTCCCCACCCCTGATCTGCACATCATGGAGATGGGGGGCAAGGAGAGGGCACCCCTGGCTGGAAGCCTCCCACCCACCTGCCCTGCCCCAGCAGGGGAGCCTGGAGCTGGGCCAGCTCCTGGCATGGAGCCCTGGGCAAGCAGGCTGGGTGGGTCACCAGGGCTCATCCTGCCCCCTCCTCACCCCTGGCCCCTGCCTGGCATGTCAGTGAATGCCCATGTGTCTGCAGGTGTCTGCATGGCTGTCTTAAGGGGGGGGGGGGGGGGCACACTGCTGGGCGTTTTGAGGGGGGGGGGGGGGTGCACATCTGTTTGCATGTGTGCATGCTTCTATGTCTGTGTCTGTGTGTGCATCTGGGTGGGTACACGTGTGTGTCTGTATTTATGGTTGCATGTATGTGTCTGTCTCTGTGTGCATGATATATGTGCATCTGTGTTTGTGTACGCACATGTTTCTGTCCTTGTGTGCATATCTTGTGAGTGCACATGTGCATCTGTGTATGCATGTGCATGTGTCTGTCCGTGTCTCTAGGTGTGCATGTGTTTGCATGTGTGCATGCATCTGAGTGTCTCTGTGCATGCATCCGTGTCTGTGTGAGTGCATGTGTCTCTCCATGTATCTGTGTCCATGTGTGTGTGTGTCCATCTGTGTGCATGTCCGTCTGTGTGTGCATGTCTTGTTTGTGCACTTGTGTCTGGGTGCATCTGTGTGTGCATCTGTGTGTGGGTGTGTGTATGCGTGTGTGTGTCAGGGTGTGTTTGTGCACATCTGTGTCTGTGTGAGTGTCTTGTCTGTCTGTGTGTCTCTGTGCCTGGGTGTGTATACATATGCGTGTCTGTGTGCACGTGCACGCGCGTGCATCTTGTCATCAATCATTCCCCTCACTGAAAAATAACCTCACAGTGGCCCCCAGGGTGGGGGCTGACTTGCAGAGCCCATCAGCCCCCCTCCGAGGCAGGCGAGAGCCACTTGACCCCGCTGGCCTGCAGGAGGGAGATGCTGCAACTCGCCTGCAGCCCACATGTGCAGGGCCAGGGCTGTGGTGTTACCCTGAGGCTTTCCCACTCCTCTTGGGGAGAGGTCCTCTCTTCTCCCAGCCTCAGGGGAGCCGGCTGCCCCACGCCAGCTTGCTCATGGGGTCCCACCCCACCCGTGGCCTGACCTGCTCCCCTCCACAGGCGTCAATGTGATGCTGAGAAAAATCGCAGTGGCCGCGGCCTCCAAGCCGGCCGTGGAGATCAAGCAGGACGGAGAGACCTTTTACATCAAGACCTCAACCACAGTGCGCACCACCGAGATCCACTTCAAGATTGGTGAGGAGTTTGAGGAGCAGACCGTGGACGGGCGGCCGTGCAAGGTGAGGGGGTGTGGGGGCTGTACTGTTGCCGGGGGGGACCCTGGATGGGGCAGGTCTTGGCTTGAGGTCTTCTGCACCCATCAAAGCCCAGGGCAGAACAGGGTGTGAAGGCGCTGCGACAAACAGGGCTTTTGCCAGCTGGGTCTGAGAGACCCTGTGCAAACCCAGGACTCCAGCTCTTAGTGTGATACTTGCACACACTTGCCAGGGCTCCAGCTCTCAGCATACCTCCACATGTATGTGCCAGCACACACCCCAAGACTTGTCCTCTTAGCATGATACATGTGTGTGCATGCCCAGCTCTTTTGGTGTGACACATGCACATGTATGTATGTGCCCATGCCCTGTGACTCCAGCTGTCTTAGCACGACACTTGCATATGCACGTGCACCATGTCACACCCCTGGAGTCCAGCTTAGTTGGTGCAACACCCATGTGTACACCTGCGTGCACCGCCCCTGGACTGTTTTTATATGACACGCACATGTATCTTCTGGAGCCCAAGTCACTGGGTATGATGTGTGTGTACATCCCCGCTCCCCGGTATCTGTGTTTTGCATTGATCTCATGCACAAATGCACATGCACACATGCACCCCCCCCATTATCTGTGCTTTGCATTGATCTCACACATACATGCACATGCACACATATGCACACCCCCCTGTTATCTGTGCTCTGTGTTGATCTCACACACGTGTGCACACACATGCACATGCCCCCATTATCTGTGCTTTGCATTGATCTCACACACACACAAATATACCCTGTGGGGACAGACCCAGCATCCGCCTGCTCCAGAGGGTGGAACAAATGGCCAACACCTGGCTGCGCTAACGAGGCCCTGCTGTTCCTCTCCTCCCTGGCAGAGCTTGGCCAAATGGGAGAGCGAGAACAAGATGGTGTGTGAGCAGCGGCTGCTCAAGGGCGAGGGGCCCAAGACAGGCTGGTCCAGGGAGATGACCAATGACGGGGAACTCATCCTGGTAAGGCCAACTGCAGCGTGCGAAGCGTTAACCCCAAGGGGGTACTCGGGGGGGGGAATCCCTCCCAGTGTATCAGAGACCTTGATTTCCCTTCCCATCCTCTGCTCTGTTTCACCAAGGCTCTTTTAAGGGTGCTCGGGCCCTACATCCAGCATTGGGGCCCTTGGTGCCCCAGGATGTGGTGCCGATGCCCCAGCGGTGGGCGTCCGGCCCTGGTATCCCCTGACATCCACTCTCATCCCTTCTAGACCATGACAGCTGATGACGTCGTCTGCACGAGGGTCTACATCCGGGAGTGAGGCTCCGGCAGGGCCGCACCGGGCTCCTATGGCCCCAATCCTGCCCCCTCCACAGACCTCCAAGACCCCTGGCATGGAGACCCAACCCAGGTGCCCCAGAGGCCCCACTCCACAATCCCCCCTGCCCCTTTGCCCTGCCACCTCCATCCAGGCACAGCAGGGTTCAAGCAACTCTGATTAACCCCTCATGGGCTTGTCCTGTCCAGCCCCAGCAGTGGGTACTTCGCCCTTGCACCCTTCCCATCTGCTCAATGACACCGACAGTTTTCCCATCTGCTGCAAACCCAGCTGCCCCTTGATGCCTGTGGGAGCCTAGCAGCTTGCCCAAACCCTGGAAGCCTGCAAGACCGCAATGCCTTCAGTGCAATTTGAAGGACCCTTTGCTCTCTGGGGTGGCAGGGAATAGCCCAGCTGTGCTACCTTTGCCAGAAATAGCGGTGCAAGCACTTGTGCATAAACTGGAATAAGAGCGTCCACATGCAGGAGATGTCCAGCGTTAAGTAAACTGGGATCATCCTCGAATTGGGACAGCCCTGCTCCCTGACTTCCTTCCAACCCCATCTCCCCCAATTCCTGACTAGACCCCTCCCTTTGCCTCTCCTGCCCCATCAAAGCCATCTCCGTGCCTGCCTGCCCCCTCTCCAAGCACCATGTGCTTTTCCAACCTGCATCCATGTCCCAGGGCCTCGCCAAAATTGTCCATGATGTTACCTGTCCAAACAGGATCCTTCCCCCCCTGGAGGTTTCCCTCCCCGGTTCCCTCCCCTCCCCCAGATAACAGTTCAAGACTAGAAGTGGAAAGTGCTGTGCGTTCCTTTTTAATTTCCCCTGGCTTTGATTTTTGATTTTATACAGAATATTTTTTCATATGCCCCTAGGAAGAACCTGTAGCCTTGTCTAGACATGCTGTTTTCCCCATGTAGAGCCTTGAAACTCTTGCTCGCTCGCTCGCTGTCTCCTGTCCTGGTAGTTTATCCTCATTTTTCTTTGTTTGAGTATTTATTTGTTAATATTTTATTAAAAAGGAAGCAATCCACACCACAAAAGAAATCCCAGCCCCAGCCAGCCAGGCTGCCAGGGATCTTGCCTTGAACGTCGTGTCCTTCTGGACGCCTCTTTCTTTTAATAAATGTCTCACAAGTTACTTCCTTGTCTTGGTTATGGTTGGAAATTAGGACCATTTCTTGTGAGCGTTACAGCATTAAGTCGTGAGCTTGTGACAATGGGGGATTGCTGAGACTGAGAGGAGAATGGGGTTCCTCCCGGCATTAGGACGATGTCTGATCCATTCGGAGGAGATCCAGCCAGGCCGTATCCCCTGGATATCTTGAACCCAGGGGTGGTGGGTGCCTGTGGGGTGGGCTGATAGGGCATGGCTAGCTCTAGACAGGCCCTGTTCACCACGCTTTCTCCCCTTTCACCATGGAGGGGCAGGAAGGCAACCTCATGGCTGGTGTGAGTTCCCCTTTAAGAGCAGAGCATGATGGGAGCTCTTGCACACCTATAAAAAAGGGCGATCCAGGTGCCTGCTCACTCTGTCGATGCTGCTGGAGAGGAAGGAAGCAACTGCTGCTTGGGGCACTGTGGAGGTGGCTGTGAACTCACAGGTGTTTCTCCCTTGTGTCCAGCCCAACCTCCTTGCAAACCCCAGGGGTGATTTAACTCCATGGGGATGTCGAGGGGTGCAGATAATACCCGTCCTTGTCAGAGTGGTGAGGGGAGGAAGAGCCCAGCTCCCCTTGCCAGGATGCGTTTGGGAATCAGCAGACGGGGCAGTGGGTAAGCACCAATCCCACAGGGTTAAGCCATGTGCAGATGCCCCCAGGTCCTCTCCCAGGAGCCTTGGGGGCTCCCAGCTGTGCTGGGGAGACCCTGCAAACACTGGGGTGCAATGGGAGCTGGGGCTGCTGGTGGTGAAGAAGTGGGGGGCTGTGACTGGAGTTCTGGCCAAGATGGTGGGATTCTTCCAGCCCGCTGCAGGGCTCAGCCCTGCGTCCAGCTCTGAGCTTTGCAGCTGTCTCTACCATGTGGAAGCCAGGTCCTCATACATCTTCCTGACACTTTGGGGCTCTCTCCTGCTGCTGCTTTGTTCTGGCTTCGCCCCCTGCTCTTTCCAGGCCTCGTTCAGAAGCTGCCACTGCAATAATGGAGCCATTTGTCACTCTCTGGCTGCCTGGCTTGAAGATACCCCAGGCAGGGGCAGCATTTTGCGCAGAGCAGGAAGGAGTCATCCCCGCTCCGCAGCAAATGAGGTGCTGAAAGGATCCTCAAAGATCTGCCTGGAGCCTTCGGGGCTTAACCCTAGGGTCTCGGATCCACAAAACGGCCGGGGAAAGGCTGCAGTGCCGTCGCAGCCCCTCTCTGCCTGCCTGTTGTCTCTGCGCGGGGGCACGCCTGCTCAGATCAAAGCCTGAAAAACTGGCGGAGAACAAAGGCCTCGTCCTCGCCAGCTGGGATCAAGCAGGCTCGCCCGGCTCCCTGGCACGCAGGGCAGGACGGGTCCCGAGTGCCGTGGGCAGGACACGCAGAGGGAAGGCGGTTTGTGGGGGGCAGCCAAGATGCCTGGGCTCTTTCCAATCTAGGGGCTCAGAACAGGGAATATCTGGAAACTGGGGGCTCTGTCCATAGGTGTGAGGAGTGTTTGGGCTAGTGGTTAGAGCAGGGGGTGGCAGTGTCAGGATGCATGAACTGCATTGGGAAGGGGAATTTCTAGTGGTTAAACTGGGGAAGACTGGGAATCAGGACTCCTGGGTTCTCTTCTCTTTGCCCCAGGCCACCCCCCCTCCCCCCACCTAGGCTAAGCGGGTCAAGGGATAGCCTCCTACAGCCAGCATGGAGAAGGCTCTGTCCCACAAGACTGCCAGGAAGCTCTGGGGGAGCTAATGACTTTCTGAGCTGCTCCTGACCCTCTCGGCAGAGTTCACGTCCGGGAGGTTTGGTCTCAATTAAGTGCAGGAGCTGGTGCTGGTCGCCCTTGCCCTGCAGCCCCTCTAACTCCACCATCATTCCCGGTAACTGAGACCAGATGCTGGGCTGCCCGGGGCCGCGCGGGGCTCTGGAATTTGGCAGAGGGGGGTTGCAGCAGGAGCCCGGCTTGCTACTCTCGTTGCCCTCTCTTTGCACCTTTGCATCTTTGTCTGCTGATCGCTTGGGCTTCTCGGACTGGGCAACGCACCCCCAGACCTGGAACGTTTCTCCCGAAATGGCTGAGGCTAACCAGCCCGAAGCTCGTTTGAATGGAGGTTGGGGGAGAAAGGGGAATTTCTCTTCAGTTGGAAACTGCTCCCTGCTCTGTCCTGCAGGCAGCTCTGTGCTGCCTGCCCCTGGTTAGGGGGGAATGGGTTAGGGTTAGGGGGGCTGAGAGGGTAGCAGCTGGCCAGAGAACTGTAAGGTTTCTGCAGCACTGAGCAAGGACCCCAGGGCCATGGCCATAGTGGAGAGGCTGGTCCTGGTCATTTTGGGGCCTCAGTCCCTGCTCCCTGGAGCTGGGCAGGCCCCCCTGCAAAAAGGTTATGTATATGTGGGACTCGGTCCTAAGGCACACGTGTAATCCATCTGCCTATGTGAGGCTGAAGAGATGGGGAGAGTTAATCCAGTATATCAGGGGGGCGCGCACACACACACACACACACACACACACACACACACACACACACACACACACACACACACACACACACACACACACACACACACACACACACACACGTACGTTTCTCCAGCTGCCCTGCATCTTTGTCATCAGGGCTGGGAAAAAGCAAATTCCTCCCTCTGGGCTGTTTATTGAGTTAATACCAACGAGGATTTGACCCATTTGCAAGACTTCTTGGAAAGCAGAGATTGTCAGGACACATTTCCCTGATGTGCTGCTCCAGGCAGGGGCCTCCAATATGGGATCCAGAGAGGCTCACAGAGTTTAGCTGCCTTTTTTTCCTGCTGTTTGAGGCCTGATGAGAATAGATAGAAAGGGCACAGTATGCAGTACAGCCAGGATGGGGCAAGGAAGAAGGGAGATCTTATGCACAGTTGCAATTGCCCTTGTCTCCGGAAGCAAGCTCTACCTCAGGCTGGCTGGGGAATCCCTCTCTGGGATGGTCTTTCCTTGGCTGCTGGAAAAGATCTGCTCTTTGCCAGGGACATGTGTCATGGAACAAAGTCGATGGTGATGGAAATTCATCTTGACGTGAAAATGGGGGAGAGGGAAAGCCCGTAGCTAATGGGAACGGTTCCATTCAGGCCTCTCTGGTTTCCCCATTTGGAGACTCCTTAGCTAACTAAGGATTGGCTTTCATTCATCATTTTAGGACGTCCAGCCATTGGGTCATTTTGACGTCTTTTAAGTCAGGACAAAGCATCTGGATTCCTTCGGTTGAACCAGGAGGTGTCGAGCTGACCCCAAGTTCACTCTCTCCTTCCAGCCTCGGAGCTGGCAGGAAATTGAAACCTTTTGGCATCTTGTCCTGCCCCGGAGTAGAGGAATTTTGCCATATCCAGTTCCTCCCCCCGCCCCTGAAATGAGAAACCCGATCTGCATCATGCTAGCGGTTGGCGCCCTGCATGGGTCCAGCTGCACCCAGCCAGCCCCTGCATGGGCTGCAGCAAGCCCGGCACACGGGTGCTTCAGACTGGAACAGCTCACTCCTTTCCATTCTAGGAATAGTTGTCCCAGTATAAGGTGCCTGATGGCACTGAGCTGGGGGGAGTAGTAGATACACTGGAGCGTAGGGTTAGAATTCAGAGAGACCTCAATAAATTGGAGAACTGGGCCAAAAGAAATCTCCTGAGGTTCAACAAGGACAAATGCAAAGTCCTGCACTTAGGAGGGAACAATCCCATGCACTGGGACAGGCTGGGCGCCAACTGGCTGGGCAGCAGCTCTGCAGAAAAGGACCTGGGGTGACAGTGGACAATAAGCTGAATATGAGCCAGCCATGTGCTCTTGCTGCCAAGAAGGGTAATGGCATCCTGGGCTGCATTGGTAGGAGCATTGCCAGCAGATGGAGGGAAGGGATTCTTCCCTTCTATTTGGCACTGGGGAGCCCACATCTGGAGTCTTGTGTCCAGTTTTGGGCCCCCACTACAGAAAGGAGGTGGACACATTGGAGAGTCGAGTGGTGGGCAACAGAAATGGTTGTGGGGCTGGGGGACAGGACTTGTGAGGAGCGGCTGAGGGAACTGGGGTGTTTTATTCTGCAGAAGACAAGACTGAGGGGGGATTTGATAGCAGCTTTCATCTCCCTGCAGGAGGGTTGCAAAGAGGATGGAGCTGGGCCATTCTCAGTGGTGGCAGATGACAGAACAAGGAGCAATGGGCTCCAGTTGCAGCAAGGGAGGTTTAGGTTAGATATTAGGAAAAACTTTCTTACAAGGAGTGTGGTAAAGCACTGGAACAGGTTACCTAAAGCGGTGGTGGAGTCTCCATCCTTGGAGGTGTTTAAGACCCAGCTTGACAAGGCCTTGGCAGGGATGATGTGGTTGGGGCTGGTCCTGCTTTGAGCAGGGGGTTGGGCTAGATGTGACCTCCCGAGGTCCCTTCCCACCCTCATTGTGATTCTGCGATTCTCTCCCAAAAGAAGTGCTGTCGTACAGGAGGCGGGGAGCTGTGCAGCAAGATTGAGTCTACAGGGAAAAGCCTGTAACCCACGTAAGGACACGTTGAGAGGCACAAAGCAAGGGGCAGGGGCACAGAGCCAAACTGGGGTCCAGTGTTAAGATGGTGGGGGATCAATGCATGAACAGGATTATGCCCTGCTCACACGGGGCCTGATTCTGACCCACAGGGA